AGGGGGGGGGGTAACTAGCCATGCTGTGAAAATTTCGGTTTACATATTCTTTTTTTAAATAGAAAAGAAGGCATCAGCAGCAAGTCCGGTTGGAGGCACTATCTTCTTTGACCAAAAAAGGGTCACCAGGCTTAATTGAGGGGGCGGGGCATGAGCATAATATAGTAGCTAGCTATATTTTATATAATATATCATGTACTACATGTTTTGTTTTCTAAAGTATACTTTATGTTTTCTCAGTTACCTATATACTATATGAAATGTTAGTATATGGGTTCCTGGTTTTTAGCTCTACTGGTCAGAGACCAGAAGAGCATTTTTCAAAATGCTACTCCTCATTCAGTTTTGGTCTAATTTCAATATAACTTGGCACACAAGTAGAATACACTAAGATACATAATTATTCTGTGTATCAGTTTTTGATTTCGATGAACGGTGTTGCCGTGGTTACTAAAAATAGAAATTTCTATGAAATTCTTTCAAAATGCTACTACTTCTCCTACAGTTTTAATCTAATTTCAGTATAACTTGGCACACAAGTAGAATACACTAAGATACATAATTCTTTGTATCTGTTTTTGATTTCGATTAATGGTGGTGCCTTGGTTACTAAAAATAGAAATTTCTATGAAATTCTTTCAAAATGCTACTTCTCCTACAGTTTTAATCTAATTTCAGTATAACTTGGCACACAAGTAGAATACACTAAGATACATAATTCTGTATATCGGTTTTTGATTTGGATGAACGGTGTTGCCGTGGTTACTAAAAATAGAAATTTCTATGAAATTCTTTCAAAATGCTACTTCTCCTACAGTTTTAATCTGATTTCAGTATAACTTGGCACACGAGTAGAATACACTAAGATACATAATTCCGTAAATCGGTTTTTGATTTCAATGAACGGTGTTGCCGTGGTTACTAAAAATAGAAATTTCTATGAAATTCTTTCAAAATGCTGTTACTTCTCCTACAGTTTTAATCTAATTTCAGTATAACTTGGCACACAAGTAGAATACACTAAGATACAGAATTCCGTTTATCGGTTTTTGATTTCGATGAACGGTGTTGCCGTGGTTACTAAAAATAGAAATATCTGTAAAATTGTTTCAAAATGCTACTCCTCCCACAGTTTTGGTCTGATTTCACTATAACTTGGTACACAAAGAGACTACACTAAGAACATAAAGAGACTTTGTCAACGATCATTATTCTATTTTTTGCTGTTGTAAAGTTTCAAATCCCAGCTGCTTAAGTACTTTTCTCTTCCTTTGCTATAAGTTCAAACAGTAGAGCTTCAGTCTCGACAGAGACTTCTGGTTTATAGTATACAATATATCGGCAAAATTATTTGGGAGGAGGTCACGGCCTCCATGCCCCCCTCCCCACCCCCGCTTCCTACAGCCATGATGAACAACCTTAATATTAATTATTTTCGTCCTGACATAATTCTAAATACACATACTTATTTTGTATACATTACAAGTTTATCCCTGTCCACACCTGTACATTGTGTCCGATGATTACCTATAATGTTTATGACCACTATAGGTGACAGTTTTATTGTATCTACATAACACAGATCGACGGAGTACAAAATGTCCAGTGTCATCTCAAATAGACAACCCAACCCACATACAGACGTATAATCTTAGGAATTTTTGCCTCAACCTCAATCATAGACGTATGTCCTCTGTGCAGACATATCTTTAGTAATTTTTTTTTGTCAAAATACGAAGTATATTGATAAGATAGTGCCTAACACATGCATTTTATTTTTATGTAAATAATTGTTCATACTTCATGTCATTTCAAATAAACTTTTGGCATGAAAACATAAAACTTATGGTAAGAATAGTAATCGTTTGAATTATTCAATTTCTGACCAAAACACATTTTGTAAATAAGTAAGCTTTAATGGAAAAACGTATGATTAAAAAAACAAAACAAACTACATTAATGAGTTTATTGAGTGTAAAGAAAGTTATAATTGACGCCACTTCAACACTACTTTTCTTGGATCTTATTTCTTTCAGTTTTTTGGGGGGAAGGGGTACGGACGGGTAGGGATCAAGTGTTAAATCAAGCAGATGTATTTCCATGAGACGAGTACTAGTATATGAATGATACGTCATGTGTTTTATTTCAATGCAAGATCCTTTCTTTTGTCTATAGTATGACATGATGAATAATATAAAAAAATTATCCTTTCTAGATAATATGAAGAAAATAAGTAACGATCTGAACAATCCATGGTCCAGTGTTGTGATGAATAATACAAAAGAGACCCAAAACCTGTACGGGAACATTACCAACCAGTCCACACCGTACAACAAGTTCTCAAAAATCCGCTATTCCACAAACTTTCCTATTATTCCCAGACCACCGAGACAAAAACCTTGGAAATCTAAAATCAGAAGAAAGCCATCAAGTTCTGAAAATTCCGACAATGAGCCGTCAGAAAATGTCCTTGCGGTTTCTAAGTTGCCCGAAACAACAACAAAATCAGCTCAGGTTAACAACTCAACAGTGAGTACAACCAAGATGACAACGAAAACAAACCTAAAAACAACCAAACCAACGTCTCCTTCTACCAGTACGGAAACCACACCTGTTAACCCGAGGCCAGAGTCGGAGGCGAACAATACTCTACAGGAGAAAAACCTATATTTCATGAACAGCGGAGTGATTCATGCCGGGGAAATCGACATTGACGTCAACGGAAGAATCAAACATCATCACTTGTCTAACGACTCGACGGACGAGTTCGAGATCAGCACGCCCCACGGTGGCTCCCCGCTGTCGGGGTCCGAGTTCCTGTTTGGAGCGGTGTTGGGGATCGCCTTCCTTGCGTTGGTTCTGCTAGGCATAGTTCTATTTATATGTAGAGCGAAGATCAAAAGGTATATAAAATCATAACGTTTACTGCCATACACAACCATCGAATTCAGAATAATTTATTTTTATCCATCTATCAAATTTAGTGCTCTGTCCTTTGCATGGATTCTCAAGACTAACCTTTTGTGATATTCATGCATACACCCGATTATTTTAGATGCGTCCGTGGAGAAAAAGGAAACACTGAAACTCCAGTACAGACAAGAGATGGAGTAAGTATACGAAGAACGTTAACGCGCATCACATGTCGTTCTGACTTTTATGTAACAAACTACTCACATTGTAAGCAAATTTGACATCTCTATTTCTTTCTGCTTTTCAATGTTTTTAAGACATATTGAAAATATACCTTATGTTTTATTTACAAAATGTACTGAACCACTAAAGACTTTAATAATTACATAATTTTTGCAGGATATATCTTTCATCAGTGGACCCCTGACAGCGGAGTATCCGGGTCACAGACCAAGAGCTAATGCTAATGTAGGAACCGTAATCCGGAGTACGAACCCTGTCCACAACCAGTTCAACCAAGTGAATCCAGGATTCAATCAACCGTTACCAAATAACCAATATTTCATTTTACAACCAGAAAACCATTCGAACGCTCCCCGCCATCACAGACATTTACACCACACAGGCTCGGAGTATGATGACGAGGGTTCACATAAATATTTTGTTTTGGAGAACTTCCCTTCAGAACTTTGTTGTCCTAAGGATAAAGATGATTATGACAATGCTGTCCCCCACCCCTGTTTTGGAGGGGGCGCGTGCTCATTGCCTGACGAACGCCCCCGAGAAAACAATTCAGTCGATACGGACAGTGAGCTGGGAGCTGCGGGCTATCGTAGAATCGGAGATACCAAGAGACGGGGCAATGAGCATAGAGTGTCTCAAGTTTGATGTCTTACCGAACTGAATTTGTGATATAATGTGCCAAAGAAATTTGTGCTGGAATTATTTTTATTCAAAGTTGACTTCTAACATTGACAGTTTTATTTTGTCTACCTCTTTATAAATGAAAATGATTTGATACTGTATCACTGTGCATTTTTATGCAAACGCCAATAAGAATGAGACAGTTTGTTAGAGAGAGAGAGAGAGAGAGAGAGAGAGAGAGAGAGAGAGAGAGAGAGAGAGAGAGAGATCAAGTGTACATTTTTCATTAAAAGTATATTTTTCATTTGAAGTGCCAGTTAAAATAAAAGAGGCGAGAAGAATTTAATTATATACATATAATGTGCCTAAATTATGTAAAAGAATTAATTTGAAGACAACTGCTTGTTTGAAATACAGATTGCATAATCAAACCTGCATCCTATCTTGAAATTTAAATTTCTTGTTCATGTTTTTCAAGATACCAACGTTTGCCATATCTTCCAAGAAATAGTTTTCATATGAAATGTCATATTATAATTATAATAATTTTCTTTTTGGACACAGTTAAAAATTTGACTATCTCGAGATGATAGAAATGTTTAAAAATTATTACAAATCCCAATTTAAACTGCGATATGTGGAGTTAATCGCAATACATAAATACATAAACATGCATGATATTTGATTATTTGCATGTAAACGTAGTTTTAAGCCCATTGTATAGAGAAATTGTTTTTTAAAATTTATTATTACAGATGATGAATATATACAAAAAGAAATCACTCACATAGATATGTATACTGCCACGAGAACATTACAAATCTCCAGAGAAATGCAATAAAAATATGGATAACATACTAGTATATTAGATGACACGAACCCGTACTCTAAAATATGAAAATACAATATTTTAAATTTTCCTTTTTCAAGAATTGTTGTATTGTGGAATGAAACAATCATAATGAGAAAAAAAAAATGTTCCAAGTTTTCTCTATCTTGGGTTCCTTAAACAACCTCATTATACTTTAGTGTTTGATATTTTTCAGCCACATGTATCTATTCCGATTTCAATTTTTCATAAATATCAATTTGATGGGAAATGTATTTTTTAGTCCATGAAATGAATTGAATAACTAGAGGTATGTGAATGATACTGATGAAGCCATTAAACGGTCCACACTTTAGCTATACTTATTATACATTAGATGACACGAAATGAAATGTCAGAGAGAAACACCGAACACTCCAATAATTATATTCAGAATCAAAGTACCAAATATAAGTCCGATCACAATATTGTTCATCAAGTTTGATCTTTTATCCTTTTCCAAATTCCCCTCCGTGGTCCCCAGGAACAATAGTATAAATCCAATGACGATCTGTACTAATATAGACAGGATGAGGAGGACCAGTAGGGGGTAGTAGTAGCTGTGAGACTCCCCCCGGTCCAGGAGGGCCTTCAGTTGGGAGGCATTGGCCACCAACAGACCGACGTCTAGTAGGCCCTCCGCCACCGTCTTCTTCCGGGCGTATGCCGACTTCTGGACAATGCTCTAAAAATAGGAACACAAAATTGATTTTTTTTGTTTGATTTTGTTTTCATTTCTTTTACCCTCATATCTGCGTGTTTACATTAAAATACCAATGTAGGACAAAATAATGATAAGATACACATTTACCGTATTTGACCTATTGAGTTTATTTTCTTTTTAATTAATAAGCAATATTTACTACACTGTACCAAGAACAATTGAGAACATCTAACGTCACTAAATAGCCGTAAATTACTTTTAAAAATTAATTTAACTTTAAAGTTTATCTATAATTTTTACCTGTGCAGTGGATGCTCCTTTTCCTTCTTCAGACATTTTCATCTCCATGCCCAACTCCCCTGAACACGCCTAACATTCAGTTTGTAGAAGGGGTGAAATCATTTTCTATATTTTTAGTGTTTATATTTCCCGTTATTGATAGCAACACACGGGTAAAAACATACGTTAAACTGATAAGGACAAAAACTTAGACGGTCCACCCAGTTAAAATTTACGATTTAGATAAGACAGCTTATATCTATATCTGCTAAATCCATTGAACATTGATTTATAATACAGGTTTCCACAGGAAATTTCCATTCATTGTCATTTTCATGATATTCGTACAATATTCATCTTCGAACATAGAAATCTCATTGAGAATAGCGGGGATTAATTGAAAACTCCATAAGATCATATAAATATAAGCTATCATGTGTGGTCAGCTCATAGAATGCAAACCAAGATGTTTGTCAATGTGTATACAGTTTCTAGTATTATGGACGTATTTTTATTACCGTTGTATCAGTCCGTGAAAGAAGCACTGGTTTCCATTTAATGCATTCTCTAAAGATAGTAAACGCCTCCTTTCTTTGTGCAAGAACTGAAAAAAAATGTAAATATTTAAACAATAGAAACAATTTCAGAACGTATATAACATAGATGGAGTTATGCCCCTGTCAACAGTTGTTAAAGATTGAATATATAATTGATTAGAAAAGAAAACATCTTTTATATTCTTTTACATAACAATATTCATCATCACACATATTGTAAAGCATTCTTCCAAAGATATTGTTCTATTGGGTATAAATTTAAATTAATATCAGTTTTTGCAAAAAACCTATGACATCATAGGAGGATGGAAATACACTGTACTTTTTAAAAGAGAAATACTGAGAGCACCTCCTAAAGTTAAAGCAATATGGTTGAATTAAAAAAAAAGACCACAAATATATTTATCAGCCTGCACTAAAATACAGGCAATTGGAATAAATATCTATGTCTCAGAATATGACTTTTGATAGCATCTAAATACACGCCAAATATATCATTGATATCTCAAATCACAAAAAGGCATGACCTCCAAAAAGAATGTTAAAAATAGAGGAGTGCAACATCTTTTTGTGAAATTTAAAAATTCAATATTTTTTGAAGATCTGTGAAAAATAATGGTTTATTTTGAAAATAAGGACTTTCCTGATGATATTCATGGCATCGATCTTTAATGAGAATCTACGCAGTTTCATGTGAATTTTTAAAAACCATTTTAATGTTTACAATTCCAAAATAAGGCATCATCTAATGATCAGCAAAACTTTTAACATTATTTGTTGATTACCAAACGAGATACAGGACTTGATATTCTTCATAATGTAAACAAGGCTCTTGTCCTGTGATTAACTACATATAGAAAATATCATTTTTAAACAAAATTGAATTCAGCAAATCACTAGAAACTTCTCATCTTATTTACGACTAACATCTGTATTGAAAGTATCTGCTTTGAACAACATATAGAGCAGTATAAGTATATTAACCTTTGTAAGCAAAAACATGACACGGACCCTGTTAACATAACTAAGGTTTGGAGCTCTAAATCTGTATTGTATCTCGACAACAAAAGTTCAAATTTTCGAGGATCATTAGAATGACCTTTGTTAAATTTTTGAAATTTTTTTAGGTGAAACTGTGTCCATGTACTTTGAATTGTGAACTACAACAACCTTAGTTTGAACAAGTTGTGGTCATGGCTGATGTTGAAATCATGATATACCATGTCAGAAGTGCAACGGAAAAATGTTGTTTGCCAAAAAACATAGATGTAAAAAAATCTGAAAGACATTCAAATAAAAGAAAATGAATTTTCAATGTGAAAAACAATAGTTGGTATACAATCTAAAATCTACAAATGTTATAGAAATCACAAGTAGCACAAAAAGCCTTATAATGAGAGTCAAGTATCTGTACATACCCAATAATGTCAGAAGTGTAACATATATATTTATAATTGGTATCGGAAACACGTGGTGTTGTTCGTTTACGTGTTTAGGTAGTATTTATAGTATCTTAAGATTTGATTGGATTTTAACGATTGATATGAGTTCAAATGAAATCGTGCGGAACAGGTAGTTTACCTGTGTCCAGGTATTAAGAATTAGAGGTTATTCGAGGTTTCGCTGCGCTTAGTGCAACAGGTCCCCGCCGACCCACCCTACTTTATAATGTATATATCTGATATGATTTAATATTTTCGTTTTTTATTTTGTAGATTGTTGTTTCAAAGAAGAATATTTAGAATATTTGTAACATTTATGTGCAATAAATGTCTGTTGCACAGACGCAGGCGATGCCGTTCCTAAACATGTGTTGGAGTTTTGAATTTATAAATAATTTATGTTCGGTTGAACTGGTGAATTAGAACATAATTGAAGTTTTTCTCACAGGCATGATATATTTTTATTATCACTATATGATTCCTTGATTTGTTTTTTTTTTTGGAAAATATAGACACAAAGAACATTTTCACGAAAAAGACATCAATTTTAGGGTTAGTATGTATTTTAGATGTATATTTTGTATGGCCAAGAGTACAACACATTTTTTTTCAAAGACTCATGTTATATGATGTATAGACTTCAATTCATGTTTTAAATCAAGACGTATTCTTGACACTCTTTATCAAAGAAATGATCCATTTGTAAAAATGATATACCCGGTACTAAATTATTGACCGTTTTATTATCAAAATCATTCTCCTTTCCAATTATATAATGTTGACATTTTTATCTTTTCTTCAATTCTTTCATGAATACAAACAATTAAACAAAGTGAAAAATGTTCCAACTCAACTTCTATGAAACAACAAACAATTTCTTGTTTAATTTTTGTATTACAGTTATACACTGAAAGACTCCAATGCACGTGGTCAAGAGTGCAACATCTATATATTAAATTTAGAATAACTGCTTGTCATATATGAATAATAATAAAGAAAAAAACCCGATGAGTAAAATGTTTCTAATTAACAGCGTTTGTTTCGTGCAGAGATTAATGTTAGATAAATTTTATCTTATAATTATATATTTTAGCTAGATGTTGTGAACTGAAAAGGGAATCATTCAAAATACAAAGCCAAATTAGAAAACTGTCGTGTGTTTTGCTTTTGAAGTATTGGACTAGACGTATTGCAAAAAACTCCGTCTGTACGCCCGTCTAGCTGTCTGTACGTCCACCCATCCATCCGTTACGTTTTGTGGTACCTAACTCTTATCTGCATCCTCTCTTACAGCACTGAATGAAATTTTATGAATCTTTCACAGATTATTTGCTACAAAGTGCCATTGTACATCTTCTATTTTACTCGTTGATCGGACATATATTTTGGGTTTCCCATAGCAAAACTGGACACTGCCATTCTTTATATAATATTGAACTAACTATTTTATCCGCAACTCCTCCTTTAGTAATGAATAAAATTAATTGATAGTTTTACTGGTTTTCATTACGTAATGCTACTGTTCACCACCTATTTTACTTTTGATATGAGACTTATTTCGGGTCTCCAATAGCAAACACGAACATTGTCATTATAATCATATGTGAGGCGGAGGTATCATTTAGAGAGCGCGCTCAGCGCTCACTGAATAGTGAATA